CGGTCTTGTCTGAGATAGGCAGCTCGCACTCCTCAATCCGTCGCAGAGCGTCCTGGCGGCACGGGGGAGGTGCTTCTGTAAAGCACGTAGGACTCCTTCGACTCGAAGAACAGTGTCGTCGACGAAGGTCCACATCTGGGCAAGCTCTGCCTGAGCTTGGGCTTGTCGAAGAATTGGTAGCAAAATAAGTCGTGCCAGGGTGGTGCCGTGAGGGGAGCCTGCAATGATGCCTTTGGAGGCGAAGATAGGCATGCTCACCCATTGCCGACTGCGCAAGAATCTGGGCGCCAGGTATAGCTGCACCTTCAATAATAGAATGATGGGAGGAAAGCCGCAGTTGAGGCCGACCATGATGAGGTTGGCGAGCTTGATATTGTCGTAGAACTTCTGGATGTCTAATAGCAAGGTGGTCGACTGCATGCCAAGTGCTGAGGCTGTCTCGTCTAACAAGGCCCTATGTAGGGCGGCTTGGAGAGCTGAAGAGCCTTTGATGGCTGTAGTCCAAAAGTCGTCCAGACCTTGCGTCCAGGCTGCCGATGCGGTAGATCTAATGCGAGACCAGAGTCTGGCCATATGAGGGAGCATGCCGAGGACCCTGTCGCCTCCAGACTTCTTGGCGGAGAGAGCTGCAATGGTGCCTGAAACTTGTAGTGGCCAGATGCCTGCTTGCTCCACTGAGTTGAGGATATCTGCATAAGCTTCGACTGCTGGTTCTGGTAATCGATGGAGGTCGCGAGGTCCTAGGGCGTCAACTCCGTGTGCTTTACTGGGTGGCATGCGGCCGTGAATGCGGTGTACGATCTCGGCTGTGATGGGCTCGAGCGGTTGGTGAGCGGCTGCTGCCTTGGCCTTTGACAGGGCCTGGAGGATGTCGTCGGAGGTCTCGGTGGCTTGCCATACTTGCTGCCATTGTTGCTTCTTGTTGTCCATGATGACGGTGGGGTCAGCGATGGTCAGGTTGGTCGTGTAGGCCTCGATGTGACGTGCGGGCGCTGGCTTGACATGGGCGTGTAGTACTCCAGGGCGGTGCTTCCATTGCTGGGCGAGCCAAGCCCCGTAGGCCCTCTTGGACTTGGCGAGGGCGGCCGAGAGGGCTCTGGAGGCCCAGGTAGCGGTAATGGTGACCAAGTCGTCGGTGTCATCCTTGTCCAGGTGCGGGGCCCAGACGAGCGCAAACCAGCGGAAGATGGTGTCCTCATCCTTCTCGAACTGAAGGTCGTGCATGTGAGTGTTGAAGTGGTCCGCGCGCTGCTGGATGATGGTGGCCTGCTGCTGCATAAGCGCTGTGTGCTTGGGCTTGTCGTGAAGCGCGGCGTAGCGCTTGATGAGGGTGAGCGTAATTGCCCACCATTCCGAATGTGGGTCGTGTACGTGCACGCGGCCTGGGCAGCAGCTGTCTTCTTCCAAGAAAACTGGTAGCCCTGAGCTCGGCCAGTGTATGCTGCAGCTTCCTTCGGGTCAATCTGGTGGTGGCTGATCATGGTGTTCTCGAGCGCCGTGACCCATTTGGCGTACTTGAGGTTGAGGACGTCGGCGTCGTGCACCCAGTGTCTGTACACGAAGTGCGCGTGTGGCTGCTTACAACGTGTGGGTATCGCTTCCTGCCATTGTTTTTCCCACAAGTCCACCGGGATGGCATAGGGGGTAGGTTCCTGTGCTGCGGGCTCGTCTTGTGGCTGAAGCTGTGCTGCTGCTTGTTGGAGTTCAGGAGGTAGATCACGGAGACGTGCTGCTCGAGCTTCAGCTGTTTTACGTTTCTTGATGGCGGTCTTGCTGTTGGGGTCTGGCGGAATCCTGGGTCTGTCCACTATGGGGAAGGACTTGGGGGTATCGATCGACTGATACCACCAGGGGTCTGCGCTGCCTGCTCGAACTTCAAGGCCAACGTGGGTGGCCCAGGGTACTGTGGGGCACTGGCGAATGGAGATCGCGTGCTCGATGCCAGTCTTGACCAATGCGAAATCAAGCGTGAGTCCCTGGCCCTTGTCGCAAGTGGCGGATCCAGGTGCTCGCACGATGGTAGCATTCCATTTGGCGAGCCACTCTGTCGCTGCAAGCTGCTCAGGTGTCATGTTCCAATCGGCCAGGATGATCCAAGGGTCTGTGAGCATAGTAACGAACGCTCCCAGCGAAAGTAGCTTATCGTGTACTGCACCCTCGATCTGCCTGTGGGGTTCCAGATACGCGGCAATAACAACCAAATTGCCAGAACGTCTGTGCCATACCATGGGCGTGAAGCCGAGGAACGGGTCAGGCCTGCGCTGGGAGATGGCAAGGTCACGGAGGTGGTTGAACGTGGTGGCCTGGACATGGCACCTGGATAAGATGATCTCGCCACCCGTGTTGCCGCCGTCTGATCTACTGGTAGGAGTGGCCGTGGTCGATGATATTCTCCAACCATCCGCTGCTAGCTTGTCGTAGATGGGCGGCGCTTTTCCAGGCGAGATGTGTGTTTCAACTAATGATACCATCTGATATTGCTTGCCTGGTCCTGCCAACCATTTCTCCGACTGTGGTCCCCATTGAGTAATGTTGGAGAAGAACAGGGAATGGTCTTACAGCGGAGGCTTCGTAGGGCCTTCGTCTTGGTAGGCGGGACTAGGGTCGGCTCTCGGGCTGCTGGGCTTCCATGGCCCTTTCCCTGCGGGCGTGTCGACAGCTTTCGCCATCTCATCGCCCCCTACCAAGGACTGCGTCTTGGGCGGGGCGGCATCAGGGTTTGCCTTTGGCGAAGGCTCCCCTGGTTCCTGTACCACATGCACATCGACAGCTTGTGCCATCTCATCGCTCCCTACCGAGGACAGCGTCTCGGGCGGAGCGGCATCAGGGTCGGACCGCGTAGCACGCTGCGGCTGCCCTGGGTCCCATACCACGGGGTCGACGGTCTGTGCCGCCTCATCGTCCCCTACCGAGGACAACGTCTCGGGCGGGGCGGTAGCGTACTGCTCGGAAACTGCGAAATCGATGTGGGCGTCCAACTCGGCCAGCTCGTCGAACGGGTCGAGGACAGCGTCCATTGTATTGATGATCGGTGGGTTGTCGTAGATCGTGGTCTCTGACGGTAGGCGCCCCGTCTCACCATTCCGTCCAGGGTCGGGTTGTAGTCGGCGAAAGAGGCTGCTGCGGTCCAGCGGCGGCGGCAGCAGTGGGCTTGCGCATCTGGCTGAGCATCTTCTGTGCCTTGTCTTCGAGGTCGGGGTCCTTGTTGAGTGCAGGTACAGGCTGTGTGGCGTAGCCGCCGTCAGAAGAAGCGCCAGCAGCAGGTGCGGGAGGCTCATCGCTTGGCGCCGCTGGCGGAGAGGGCGCAGTGCCCTCAGCGCCCGCTGCGGCTGCCGCTGGGGGTTCGCCTGCTGCAGCCGAGGCGGCGGGCGGTGATCCACCTCCCTCTCTGGCGTGCCCATCCTCGTCAGCGCGCTGCCGCTTGGAGGCGAAGCGCGTGCGCATGGTGCTGGCCTCTGCTCGGAGCTGGCTGATGCGGCTGGCGGTGTTGCCGAAGAGCTCAGTGACCTTGGCCTTGAGCTCCGTGGCAAAGCGCTGTTGCAGGGATTCCCATGCCTGGCGGTCGCTGTCGTCGATGTCGAGGCCTTGGAGATCGAACGCTGCACCCGCTTCGATGGAGATGTCGCCGTCCTCGAGGAGGCTGGTGAGGTTGAAGGTCGGGTTCTGCTGCGACGGCGTAGAAGTAGCTGTGCCGCCCTTGCGGGCGGCTTGGAGTGCGTCGAGAGCCGCTTGGGCCTCCGCCTGGGCTTCAGCCAACTTGTAGGCGGCCTCCTCCGACGCCTGCTTGCGCTCTGTGTACCAGCTGAGCGCCTTCTGCTCGCTCTCCAGCAGCCTCTCCAGGTTGTTCTTGCAGCGGCGCTCCGTAGCCTGGGCGCGGCTGTAGATGTCGTTGAGGTCGGCTGGCTTCTGCGGCTGGGGCGGCGGAATCTGCGACTTGATGCCGTCAATGGCTGCCTTGTCGATGTGGGGGGCGATCGCCTGGAGCTCCGCCAAGATGTCCTCGGCGGAGCGAGCCTTGGGGGTGTCGTTCTTGCTGGCCCACCAGTCGTCGTCTTGGTCCTTGCCGTTGCCCTTGCCACGGCGGCGGCGGGACTTGGGCCATGATGACCACGGCTCCCAACCTCCCTCGGGGCTGGACTGCTGGGTGCACTTGGCCTCGACCTGGGCTGCGGCTGAGACACGGGCCGCCCAAACACCTTGCACCGGAGGCGGGGCATCTGTCCACGGCGCCAAGGCTTTGCCACACCAGTAGCACGTCTGCTTGGTCTTCCAGTTCCAGGCGTACGAGCAGGAGTAGCACTTGACGTAGCCGCTGCGCTGCTGCGGAGGCGCCATGGACGAGCTGGGGAACAGAGAAAGCTCACCTGCGGGCAGCAGGAGGCACACGGAGCGTTGAACAAAACTGTCGGGCTAGAGAGCCCTGGCACTGGCCGCGGACTAGCGGTATCCACTTGTTCCCCTGCGGAACTAGGCATCTTGAGCCAAAATGGCTACGGAAGGGGAGGGGGAGGAGGAGGAGGAGGAGGAGGAGGAGGAGGAGGAGGAAGAGAAAGGGAAGGAGGGGGAGGACAGGGGGAAATGGGCAAGCTCCGTCGGAAGGGCAATCCCCACCCCCTTTGATAAACACCCCATCCAGAGCAATGTTTCCGCCCCGCCCTCTCCCAGACCCCCGACGTCATGATTTGTTCACCACGTCGACCCCCAGAGGTCTCGACCCATTCCTCAAGACAAGCTGTTCATCCTGGGTATTTTTTCTGGGGGCCCCGTGGCCCGGTAAGGGCCCCCAGAGGCGGAAAATAGCGAGAACCATCCCGTCGTGCTTGTTTCACGACTCGAAGATGAGGAGGAGGAGGAGGAGGAGGAGGAGGAGGATGAGGATGAGGAGGAGGAGGAGGAGGAGGAGGAGGAGGAGGCGGAGGCGGAGGAGGAGGAGGAGGAGGAGGAGAAGAAGGGTGACTTTTTCACGACCCGAGGGGGTCTGGGATTGGACGCCCCCGCGCCTTGGCGGGCTTCGAGTTGGTGACCCAGAACGCGGCCCAGCTCACAGCGAAGAGCAGCGCCCCGAGCGCCACGGGGAAGCTGACGCCGAGGGGGGCCGAAAAGGGGGGGACTGGCGCAGAGGTGGAAACATATCGAGGAATAAACAGCGACCTTCGGGGTGACCCAAAAGGGGTCCAGCTGAAAGGGGGTGGCGCAGTAGATTTGGTGCAATTGTATTGCAAATGTATTGCGCACGAAAACTGTTTTGCATTGTATTGCAAGTAATGTTTTGCGCACGAAAATGCAATAATACATTTGCGCCCCGACTTGTATTACACGCCCCAAATGTATTGCAACCTCACAAATCTATTGCACCAAATCTATTGCACCACCCCCTTGTCGCTGGACCCCCTTTTGGGTCAATCCGTAACCTAATTACCCCAACGTCGACCCCACATCTGGCGGGTTCGTGAAATCCTGAACCAGAAGGTTGCCATCTCCTAGGAGGCCGAATTTTACTCCTGCCACCTTCCGCCAGCCTTCAGCGGGCTTTCGCCGGCGGAGCGTTGGGATTCCGCGGGCTTCCGCCGCCTTCCGCCGAGGAAGAGATGGCAACTCCTTCGGTCCTCGAAGATGAGGCTTGTTCTAGAACGCCTCATATCTAGGAACACACAATTATGCAACCACATCAGCAAAGCCGGCAGAGGTCGCCGAAAACACAGTTCCCACGACCAAATCAGCACCCCTTTTATGATAAAACATATTATGAGAAACATTAGCTTTCGGAGGTCCGCGCTGATTTCTTGGATCTGCTTTCCCTGGCGCCCCTATGAAACACCGCCACCCAATAGCCTCACGACGTGAAACATGATACCACGGGACAGGCCGGGAATGTCACGCGAGACTGCAGCAAGAGCGCGCACCAGGAGGACACAGAAGAAGCAGGGGAAGACAGCGGACGGCAAGCAGGAGGCAGCGGAGAAGCACAACAAGCACGCAGCGAAACGAGAAGACCACACGGGGGAGGGAAGCGGTGACCTGGAATCGGCGGTACGTCGCCGAGCGATCGGCGGCAGGCCCCCGATGGGGACCCCCCTTGCTGCTGGGCAGGTTGGCTCCTGGCGATCGGGGCCCAGACCTCCGATGCTTGTTGTTTTTTGTAACAAACTTCTTATATGATGGCGATGATGATGATGATGATGATGATGATGGTGATGATGATGATGATGGTGATGATGCTGCTGCTGCTGATGATGATGATGATGATGCTGATTATTATTATTCTTATGATTATTATTATGATTAGTATTATTATTGTTATTGTTATTATTATTATTGTTATTCGTATTATGATGATGATTATTATTATTGTTGTTATTATCATTGTTGTTATTAGTATTGGAAGTATTATCAGTATTGTTATTGTTGTTATTATTATTATTATTATTAATACTACTACTATTAGTAGTATTACTACTATTATTAGTAGTATTATGATTACTCGTATGTATTGTTTGGGGGCTATCTTTTTCCTCATGAGGTCCGGGACCTCTGGGCCACTGCCCGGGGACGGGCCTCTCGTCCTGCCTCGTGCGTGGACGGTCTCGTGGGCCCAGAAGCGACCCCTGGACGCCGAACATCATGTCCTTCCCGGGCGAGAGACCGTGGCACGGATCAGGGCTCCTGTGGTCTGCATGCGGCAGAGCGCAGTGGACAGTGGTCTGCGTGCGGCAGGCGGCATGCGGCACACGGACTGTGGTCTGCGTGCGGCAGAACGCAGGTGGACAGTGCCCCATGAGGGCGTTGGGTCAGGCAGGCTGGATGGAGTGCAAGCGAGTGCCGCCGTCTTGCTGTTGCTGATGCGTGGGAGGCCTGTGGGGGCCGATGCCTCCTCCCCCCGCTGAGCCAGCACCTCCCCGTCGGCGCCCCTGGGATGCCCATGAACGTGTCCGTCGAGGGGCCGTACTCGCGCGTCTTCGACATCTCGTCCAGGGGCAGGTCCTCCAGACAGTGCCAGGGGGGAGGCCACCACAAGTCGCGCCGCCACCTCGCTGAGGAGGAGGAGCCTTCCCCAGGGAGCTCCCTAAAAGGTGAAACTTGGGCGCGAATTTATAGGGGGCGATGAATGGGGGGCGGGGGGGGAGAAAGGCGCTCTTCTCGGGCCCTACAGGCCCTCGTTAGGGCCCCTGGGGGCCCCTTCAGGGGCCCTGACGGGCCCGTCTCGGCAGCCCCCGCTGCTCCCTCCGTGTATTGCCCCCCCCTCCCCCTTTACGCGTCCTCCGCTCGTCAAGGGGGCCGAACTTCCCGGAATCCCGAAAGCCCCTGGGAGCCCCCCAACCAGAGGCGACGATAAGGGCGAATAGCCCAGGGGAGAGCAATACATGTATCCAGGGGCGCGCGAATGCGTGCAATGCCCGCTCCTGGGCTCTTCGCCCTCGTCGTCGCCGCCGACCCAAGAGGTGAACCACGATCCGGCTTTCCGTGCCTCGAGGCCCAACAGCAGCAACAGTTCGCCTCTGCGCCCGTCCTCCCCACTCTTGTTCCCCCACTTCCTCCTCCCGCGCGCTTGCTCATGGCACTCGGGCGCGACGGTGCCCCCATGCAGCCGCCCCCCGGGGAGAGCTGCCGACCCCCTCTTTGGGGCGAGCCCCCCCTCGGCCTCGCCCACGCGCAGACCGCGGCAGCTCGCCCGCCCTGCCCGTGACCGGGCCAACGTCGGCACCCGGCCCCCTTCCGGGGGCACATCCGGACCTGCTCGTCGCTGCGGGTCCAGCCGTGGCGGCGGAGAAGCCTCCAGAGGCCGCAGCGTAGGACTTCGTCGACGCGGAGATCCCCACGTGTGCATCTCACTGCCTGGCACGTCGGGTTGTGAGCGTGCGGCAGTGAGCGTCTCGGTGTGATTGCGAGTCCGGGTGGACGACGAATACGAATACGAATACGAATACGAGTACGAGTACGAGTACGAGTACGAGTACGAGTACGAGTACGAGTACGAGTACGAGTACGACGACGACGACGGTGGTGGCTGCAATGAGGGACGGCGGCGACGACAACTCACAGACAAATAGGCGGCGTACAGGCCCCTTCCCATGTCCTTCCTCTTACTACTCGTCGTACCCCCTCCTCTCTCTTCCTCCCTCCTCCCTTTTCGCTCTTCCTGCATCCTCCTCCGTCCTCCTCTGGCCTCCCTCCTCCGTCCTGGCGGCCGTCCTTCTCCCTTCATCGAAATGACCATGGGGCTCTGAATGGACAGGCGTCGGAGGTGCAACACCGAGCGCCTCGCTCGATGCATCCCCGCGATCTGGCCGCCTGGGGTGCTGAAGCCAGCGCCTCTCTCGAGACGTGCTCGCAATCTGTTATGAAAGCATCGACTTCCAAGCCATGAAACAGGCAAACCGCCTGAGACATCTCCACAGTCTTGGCGCGAAAGAGCAACAGTCCCCACCACTGGCGGCTCTTCCGTGGGGTGCTGAAACGAGCGCCTCGCTCGAGACGTCCTCGCAATCTGCTCTGAAAACGCCTCAACTCACAGCACAGGCAAGCCGCCCGAGACATTCCCATTATCTGAGTTAGGGAGCCACTTGCGAACTCTACCCCTACCTCCCATGATTTCTGAAAGGGGAGGGTGGGGCTCACATAATTCAGGAGCTCCCGAGCGAAGTGAACCCCACCCTCCCCCTCAGAAATCGTAGGAGGTAGGGGTAGGGTTCGCAAGTGGCCCCCTTATGAGTGTAGCCAAGCGAGTGTCCCCCTCCCTGGCGGCTCCCCTCCCCCCCGGGGTACAGAAAAAGCAGTGCCTCGCCCGAAGCATCCTCACAACCTGCCATGCAAGCGCCGAACATCCAAGCCACCAGACAGGCAAACCGCCCGAAACGTCCCCACAATCCGGGCGCGAACGGGCAAACGTCCCAACCACTGGCGGTTCCTCCTTGGGGCGCTCAAGTGCCCCGCCCGCTTTATCGCGACGAGCATGGGGTTCTGCAGGGAAAGCATCACATCAACCAAACGGGCACATCGCCCGAGGTGCCTCCACACTCTGGGCGCGAACGGGCAAATGTCCCTACCACTTGCGGCTCCTCCTTGGGGCCTTGGGGTGCTCAAGTGCCACGTTTGCTACATCGCGGTGAGCATGGGGCTCTGAAGAGAGAGAGAGACGAGAGAGTGAGAGAGAGAGAGAGAGAAAGAGAGAGAGAGAGAAAGGGAGAGAGAGAGAGAGAGAGGAAAGGAGAGAGTGAGAGTGAGAGAGAGAAAGAGAGAACGAGAGAGAGAGAGAGAGAGAGAAAGAGAGAGAGAACCCCCATCAACCACACAGGCAAACCCTGTGCGACATCCCCACAATGTGGACACGAAGGGGCAAACGTCCCCACCCCTGGCGGCTCCTCCTTGGGGTGTTCAGGCGCCACGCATGCTATACATCGCGATGAGCAGGGGGGCTCTCAGAACAAACATGTCCAATCAACCGAACAGGCAAACAGCTGTGTCAGAACATATATGACTTGTGTGACTCTGAGCACGTGCGAGTCTGAGAGGCAATCGGTCTGAGTGGGTGAGTATCAACGAATCTGAGTATGAATGGGTTTGAATATGAGTGTGCTTGAATGTCCGTGAGCCTGAGTGTGATCTGCGTGTGAGCAAATCTGAGTAGGAGTGATCCGAACGTGAAGGACAAGGAGGCGGTATGTCAGGAAATGGAGGCGTCCCATGAATAACAATAGCCACAGACTTCGGGCAGGGAGAATGAGCAACCGGCAGGCACATACATCCTTCGAGATGTTCCATCCGACCCCCCCGACCTCCAGCACTTTCCCGGGGACAGTTTTTTGCCCCAGGGGAATCCATTGCTGAGGGCTGTGGGGTCCGAAACCGACCACCAAGCGGCTGACATCGGGGAAAACGCCTGGATAAAGCATATGTATATATATGTATATATATATATATAGATATGTTCGGAAACCCCGTCGATTTCCGAACATCTCGACTATATATCGTCTTTCCCAAATTTCCGACGGTATCGACGGAAATCTGGGAAAGACGAACAACGCCAGGGAGGGCCGCTTTTGACCCTAGACCTCCGACGTCGCTTTTTCCCCCACACCATGGGTTCCCAGAGCCCTGCAACCCTTCCCCCGGATGGGCCTTGCAGTCTGCATAGTCCTCTGATGACCCTGCGGCCTGGCGAAGGCGCCCAGAAGCCAAACTGCGTAGAAAACCTGCGCCCTCTTTTCTCAGCACGCGGTCCCCGGTCCTCGCGACCACTTCCCACGGGGTTGGTTTCTCGTCCCGGATCGTGCCTTGACAGTCCAAGGCCCAGAAACGGCTCCCAGCCGCTACAACTCAAGGGAGACCTCCGTTACTGCGTTGGAGGTTTGATTTTTCCCAACGCCCCCCCCCCACAACAACTCATTTATGGAATGAGCCAGCCGCCGGGGATCGATGGACCACCAAACTCCGTAGCCATGTGCGGTCGTCACGGAAGTGCCCAGGAAATTTGTCGGGCCAGAAAGGCAGAACGAGGGGGAGAAAAAGGGGACAGGGCGCTCCGCGGATATCTCCTGCGGCCTGAATGCGTTGAAGGTCTGGGACGTCTCGATGTTGGAGGTGTCCCGGGGGTCTGAACAGGTGGGGGTCCCAGAAAATGGGTCAGGAGGGCGGGATGAAGCCAAATCCGGTCAAAATAAATCCCCAGACTCCTGGGGTTCATCTGGTAAAATGCTTCATCCCAGATCAGTTTCTGAAGGCCCCGGGACTCGACAGCGGCCCCAGGAGGCCGACCATGACAACATAGAAACAAATCGAACCCAGCACCTCGAACCCGCCCCCCCCCCCTTCCTGCTGGCCGGAAGCGACCCCCCGCCAGCTCCAATCTCGGCTGGCCCCTCGAGAATATCACTTCACCAGCCACCTGCTGGTCGGAAGGAGCATTGTTTGACCAATCCCTATCCCTGCTGTCGTGGCCTGGGCCCTGGTGACCAGTGGCCGATTTACCTCCGTAGGTGGGGGTACAGGCTGTCCCCTTCGGGTTTCGAAGAGTCTATCCCCAACTGGGGTGACGGGATGGTGGAGCTCGGGACGGGCATGGCTGAACGATACTGACGAGGACGTGTGGAAGGTGGAGGGTCCCCAGTTCTCAGCTACCCCCTAGGTCTCATGCAGGCGCACGCCGAGGGTACAATGGGTACGCATGCAACCCAGCCAATGGGACAAATAAAAGAACAAAGAAAGAAAGAGAGAGAGAGAGAGGGGGGAGCGACGGAGTCCTTGGGCAGCCCAGCCAGATCCAGACCCCTCACCTCCTGCATCCTTCCCCATCTGGGGACCCAGACCCCCGAAGCCATGCTTTTTCTACATGGCCCCAGAGGTCTCGACTGAAGTCGGGCCTGTCCCCCTGCAGGGGGATTTTGGACGAAAAATTGAATTACCCTGTGACGTACCCAACCCATTTGTATCATGGGAAACGAGGAGTTGGCCGAAACTTGCACGGACCATCCAATTGAAGGATTCGTTGTTTGATATGTAAGCTACTTGGGACACGCGCCAATGGCATGATGCGCAGGAGAACCATACAAGAACGAGGGGCGACAACTACAGGCTCGAAGAATACATGGGGAGTCGGGAACGAAGAGCAGGAGAAAGACGTGCGGGAAGCCCACTGTGCTGGGCCCTTCAGCAGCCCTCGCAAGTGGCGACAGTTTCACAGATCGCAGCCCCCCAAGGATGGCGAGGTCTAACATGAGTCTGCGGTGAGTACCCACTGTGCTGGGCCCCTCAGCAGCCCTCGAACCGGGCGACAGTTTCACAGATCGCAGCCCCCCAGGGATGGCGAGGTCTAATCTGAGTCTGCGGTGAGTACCCACTGTGCTGGGCCCCTCAGCAGCCCTCGAAACTGGCGACAGTTTCACAGATCGCAGCCCCCCCAGGGATGGCGAAGTCCCATTGGGTCTGCGGTGAGCACCCACTGCGCTGGGCCCCTCAGCAGCCCTCGAAAGTGGCGACAATTTCACAGATCGCAGCCCCCCAGGGATGGCGAGGTCCCATTTGAGTCTGCGGTGAGTACCCACTGTGCTCGGCCCCCCACCAGCCCTCGAAAGTGGCGACAGTTTCACAGATCGCAGCCCCCCAGGGATGGTGAGGTCCCATTTGAATCCGCCGTGGGTACCCACTGTGCTGGGCCCGCCAGCAGGCCTCGAAAATGGCGACAGTTTCACAGATCGCAGCCCCCCAGGGACGGCGAGGTCCCATGTGAATCCGCCGTGGGTACCCACTGTGCTGGGCCCCCCAGCAGCCCTCGAAAGTGGCGACAGTTTCACAGATCGCAGCCCCCCAGGGATGGCGAGGTCCCATTTGAATCTGCGGTGAATACCCACTGTGCTGGGCCCCCCAGCAGCCCTCGAAAGTGGCGACAGTTTCACAGATCGCAGCCCCCCAGGATGGCGAGGTCTAATTTGCATCCGCCGTGAGTACCCACTGTGCTGGGCCCCCCAGCAGGCCTCGAAAGTGGCGACAGTTTCACAGATCGCAGCCCCCCAGGGATGGCGAGGTCCCATTTGAATCCGCCGTGAGTGCCCACTGTGCTGGGCCCCCCAGCAGCCCTCGAAAGTGGCGACAGTTTCACAGATCGCAGCCCCCCAGGGATGGCGAGGTCTAATTTGAATCCGCCGTGAGTACCCACTGTGCTGGGCCCCCCAGCAGGCCTCGAAAGTGGCGACAGTTTCACAGATCGCAGCCCCCCAGGGATGGCGAGGTCTAATTTGAATCCGCCGTGAGTACCCACTGTGCTGGGCCCCCCAGCAGGCTTTGAAAGTGGCGACAGTTTCACAGATCGCAGCCCCCCAGGGATGGCGAGGTCTAATTTGCATCCGCGTGAGTACCCACTGTGCTGGGCACTCCAGCAGGCTTTGAAAGTGGCGACAGTTTCACAGATCGCAGCCCCCCAGGGATGGAGAGGTCCCATTTGAATCCGCCGTGGGTACCCACTGTGCTGGCCCCCCAGCTGCCCTCGAAAGTGGCGACAGTTCACAGATCGCAGCCCCCCAGGGATGGCGAGGTCCCATTTGAATCCGCCGTGAGTACCCACTGTGCTGGGCCCCTCAGCAGCCCTCGAAAGTGGCGACAGTTCCACAGATCGCAGCCCCCCAGGGATGGCGAGGTCCCATTTGAATCCGCTGTGGGTACCCACTGTGCTGGGCCCCCCAGCAGCCCTCGAAACTGGCGACAGTTTCGCAGATCGCAGCCCCCCAGGGACGGCGAGGTCCCATGTGAATCCGCCGTGGGTACCCACTGTGCTGGGCCCCCCAGCAGCCCTCGAAAGTGGCGACAGTTTCACAGATCGCAGCCCCCCAGGGATGGCGAGGTCTAATTTGAATCCGCCGTGGGTACCCACTGTGCTGGGCCCCCCAGCAGCCCTCGAAAGTGGCGACACAGATCGCAACCCCCCAGGGACGGCGAGGTCCCATTTGAATCCGCCGTGGGTACCCACTGTGCTGGGCCCCCCAACAGCCCTCGAAAGTGGCGACAGTTTCACAGATCGCAGCCCCCCAGGGATGGCGAGGTCCCATTTGAATCCGCCGTGGGTACCCACTGTGCTGGGCCCCCCAGCAGCCCTCGAAAGTGACGACAGTTTCACAGATTGCAGCCCCCCAGCTGGCACGCAGCGACGAGCGAGGCGAAAGGCAGGGGGGAAGAGAGGGACGGGAGGCGGGAAGGAAGGTTCGCGCGAGCAGTGCTTTATTCAAAACGAGAACCCAGCGCAGGAGGGTTGGGAATATAGCCAGAACATATTCCCCAAAAACTCATACATGGTAAACAAATCGTCCCCTGACGATTTTTTTGCTATTTCTGAATATTCGTCCTGTAGAGGGACAGGCCCGACTTAGGTCTCGACCCGCTCCCCAAGACCGGCCTCTCATCCCGAGCCGCTTCGTTTGAGGCCCCCCGGGACCCGGCACGGGCCCTGGGGGAGGCCGAAGATCGCCCCACACCTCCCGCTGCGACTGCTCCCTGGCCCGAGGAGGTCTGGGGAAGAGGCCCAGGCGGGATGCGGCGGAACGTCGGGGCGGCCCACAGGAGGCCGAAGAGCGCCCCACACCTGCCGCCGTGACTGCTCCCTGGCCCGAGGAGGTCTGGGGAAGGGGCCCGGGCGGGATACGGCGGAACGCCGGGGCGGCCCACAGGGTCGGAGCGTCGGGAGGCTCGGGAGTCCCCGGGCCTTCTGAGCAGTTTCCTGAGCGCCTTCCCCGAAGGCGCGGCAGACTTCTCAGAAGGCGCGAGGGCTTCTGAAAAGTCCGGCCGCCTTCTTAGACTGATGCGAAAGGTATCGATACTGCTACCCCCAGGACCTTTCCCTGTGTGCTTTCTGACCAGGATTTCGAGGCGGATCCACCGGTGGCGACGAGAACCTCCCAGGAGGCCCCAAGAAAGGCGAACACGAGAGACGGGTACACGTCGTTCATTTCCAATCGTGCTCATTTCGAAGTGTGCTCGTTTCTAATTGTTCCTGGCACCCTCGTGGCCAGGAAGAGGCCCAGGATAGAACAATCAGAAACGAAAGGATCTTGGCCCCCCCCCAACAAATCAAAGAACTCTCGAAGACTTCGACATGCACAACGGGCAGCGGTATCGGCACCTCGCCCTCCTCTGGGCCCTTAAAACAGGGCTAGGATCGGGACAAATCGCTCCAGAGCGTTCCGGAGCGCTCTCAGAACGTTCCGGAACGCTCTGGAGCGGCCGCGGCGCCCAACACATCCTCCGAACCCGCCGATTCTCAGAGATTTCGAGTTATATCCCGATCCGATTTTGTCCCGATCTTCGCGCCGCTTTGGCCCTCCTCGGCCGCCGCTAGAGGCGAGCTCCGGGCCTGCGCCCCGAGGAGGAGGACGGGGGAAGGGAACGTGGAAGAGGAGGAGGAGGAGGTAGGGAGAGGGGGAGGAGGAGGAGGAGGAGGAGGAGGAGGGGGAGGAGGAGGTAGGAGAGGAGGAGGAGGAGGAGGAGGAGGAGGAGGAGGAGGAGGAGGAGGAGGAGGAGGAGGAGGAGGAGGAGGAGGAGGAGGAGGAGGAGGAGGAGGCCGCGCTCGCCGCCGCCGGGCCGGCCCCCCTCCGATCCTCCAGGGGCGGCAGCTCCGCCCAGGCGGGCCGCCGGGAGCGCCGCCGCCGCCGCGGCGGCGGCGGCCGCCGCCGCGGCGGGGGGGGCCGAGGCCGGCGGCGGCACGAAGGCGCGGCGGGCGCCGCGGAGGGCCAGGGCCAGCAGGGCGCAGGCGAGCACCGGTGGTTCCAAGGTGGGGCCCTGCCACTCATCGGGAGCGGCCAAGAGGGGGGTGTCCAAGAGGGGGGGGTGCAGATCATGACGGGCGGCACGTGCGCGGCCCAGCGGGGGGGCCAGGGACGTAATGAAATAAGAAGAGGCGCCACGAAATCTGGGGAGATGTCATGGCCCCCGCCATGATATCCACCCCCCCTAGTCATCCCCCCCCCTCTTGGTGCTCTCCCTCCCTCCCTCCCTCCTCCCTCCCTCCCTCCCTCCCTCCCTCCTCCCTCCCTCCCTCCCTCCCTCCCTCCCTCCCTCCCGCTCAGCACTGGAGCGGGCAGTCTGGGGCCGTTTGCGGCCTCCGCAGGGGCCCCCGCCGGGCCTCGGGAGCGGAGCAGGGAGGGCTCGCGGGAGGACGAGCGGGCCCTGGGGAAGTGGTCCGGGCCTCCGGGGCCCACGCATCGGACAAAACTGAAAAGCAGCCGGATGCCCAGGGTCGAGGGGTGCCAGAGGTGCCCCTGGCCCAAGGTGCCCCCAGGTTTTCGCTTCACTCTTGAGTCCCCGGGAGCCCTCTGGGCCTCGTGGGGGGTGCTCTCGAGGCCGTGGGGGCCTCTTTGGAAATCCTGGGGGCATCTTGGGCCAGGGGCACTTCTGGCAACACCCGATCCTGAAGGATGGGGTCCGACGCTTCGAACAAAAACGGGGCGGCTGGTTCTTGGCCGGCCCTCGCCCGGGAGCCCCACGATTGCCCAAGAGGCCCCCCAAGACGGTCCCAAGACGGCCCAGAGACTTCCAAGACGGCCCTGGAGCGCCCAAACAAGGACCCACGACTGTCCAGGGAGACCCTGGAAGGCCAAGAGGCCCCAAGAGGCCACCAAGAGGTCCCCAAGAGAGTCCCCAACAGGCTGAGGGATGGGGTCCTGAGGACGAGGTGCCTCAAACAAATTACACGTCGTTCGTTTCTGATCGTGCTCATTTCGAATTGTGCTCGTTTCTAATTGTTCCTGGCCCCCTAGTGGCCAGGAAGAGGCCCAGGATAGAACAATTAGAAACGAAAGGATGTTGCCCCCCCAACAAAAAAACTGTCTCTGGATCCCTTTCTATCCTCAGGGCCCCTTGTTTGAACCACCGGGAGCAGCGAGGGGAGCAGGGCGGCGCCGGCCCGAGCCATGGCGAGGAAGTAGAGGCCTCCCATGTGGGGTCGGAGCGGATGGGTGGGACGAAGCCAGGGCGAGGACAACTTTGGATGTCCGAGATTTGGCGGCTCTGGGGGATGTATCGGCGCCGCGGCCTTCCAGAACGCTCCGAGAGCGTTCCCGAACGCCCTGGAACGGATTTATCCTTGTCCTAGCCCCACCCCAATGGGGTCGGAGGATTGCGCTGCATCGCCAATGCTTCGGCGGTGCAGCGGCGACGTCGGTGTGGAGAAACTCGGGCTTCTCATCGGGCCATATCGCCGAGGCATCGGCGATGCGGCGCGATCCTCCGACCCCATCTGCTTGGACCCCATGTGGGAGGCCTAGATTGATGGCTGGAGGCGATCTCGGAGGAGGGCCACATTGAGACAGCGGCGGTCCTCCCTGGCGTTCCACGACATCCTTGCGCCGTGGCCCAGAGCAAGAAGGGCGGTCTTTTTGCCTTTTTCTGCCTCCAGGGGCCCTCACTGGGCCATGGGACCGTCGAGAAAAAAACTTAGGATGAACAGCCGATCCCTGGGACGTGTTCTGCACCTCCAAGGATGTCCGCGCTGTGGAACAAAAAGCGTCGGAGGTGCGCTTCTGTTCCTCCTTTTTGGGGGGGCCTCCTGGATGCATCTCGTCGCCACGGCTGGCTCCACCTCGATTTAAAAACGTCGGAGGTGCGCTTCTGTTCATCCTTTGCCTCCTGGATGCACGACCGTCGCCACGACCGTCGGCTCAGGATGGGCCCTCGGCAGGGCCCTGGGGATCGGCCCGGAGCGGTCTGGGCAGGGCGGGAGCGCCGCCGTGGTCTCCAGTGGGCTCTCCCCCTGGGGGGAGGCGCGAGAGACGGCACGGCGCGGCAGGATCGGAGCTCGGGGGCGGCCAGGATCGGGCCGGGCGGAAGGGGGGGGGGGCAGCAAGGGGGGGGGGGAGAATCAGCTCATGTAGCTGATTTTCCCGGCGCCTCCCGGCGACGGGAGGCGCCCATGGATCGAGGAACGGGCCCCTCGGTGGGGCCGAAACCAGCTGCATGCAGCAGATTTCGAAACCCCCCTTTCCCAATCCCCCCCTTTTGTCCGGCCCGACAGGAGGGGGGTGTCCAAGATGGGGGGTGCGCAAATCATGGCCGGCGGCGTGTGCGCGGCCCAGATGGGGGGGTCAGGGACGTCATGAATAAGAAGAGGCGCCGTGAGATCCGGGGAGGTATCATGGCCCACACGCCATGATATCCACCCCCCCTAGTCGTCACCCCCCTCTTTGCCGCCTCCGATCATCGGGGGGTGCGCGGATCTCACCGGAAGCAAAAGAGACACGCCAGATCCCGGGCGGCGGGGAAAACAATCAGACACAGTCACTAACGTTCCAAGCATTATCCCGACGATGTGCCCAACCCCCTTGCGCAACGTGTGGCCGTAAGAGCTGGGGAGAGTATACAAGGGGTGATGACGTGACGCGGAATTATCTTTTTGTTGCGAACGCTACTTGGGAGGCTCGCGAGCTGCTCGATTCGCCTGCTGCCAGCACGTCTGCATCTCACAAGTGGCGTCAGTTTCGCAATTCGCAGCCCTCTCAGGGATGGCGAGGTCCCGCTCGGATCTGCTTAGCACCGCACTAAGCTCGACCGCCCAGCAGCTCTCGAACATGACGACAATTTCGCAAGTCGCCCCCCACCCCCCCCCCCTCAGATGGCGGCGACCCGCTCTGATCTGCGTAGCACCGCACTAAGCTGCCCCACCCCCCAAGCAGCCCTCGAAAGTGGTGGCGGCAGTTTTGCAAATCGCACCCCCCCAGGAATGGCGAGGTCTGTTCTGATCTGCTTAGCGCCACACTAAACTCCCCCCCTGCAGCCTTCGGAAATGACGACAGCTTCGCAGATCGCAGCCACTCCCGCAGAGATGGCGACAACCCACTCTGATCTGCGTAGCACCGCACTAAGCTGCCCCACCCCCCAAGCAGCTCTCGAAAGTGGTGGCGGTAGTTTCGCAATTCGCTTCCGCTTCCCCCCCCCCTAGAGGGATGGCGAGATCCCGCTCTGATTTGCTTCGCGCCGCGCCAAGCTGGACACCCCAACGGCCCTCGAAAGCAACAGCAGTTTCGCAGATCGCAGCCCCCCCCCAGAGATTGCGAGGTCCCACTCTGATCTGCGTAGCACCACTCGCC